ACACACACACACACACACACACACACACACACACACACACACACACAAGCGCGCGCGCACGTACGGACATTTTGTAAAAATATATGATATTTCAACGTTTTAGAATATTTTATTAGAACCCATTGGCAAAGAAAACTGAAAAAAATTTTTCACAAGAAACAAAGCTTTCTTTATGAGGAAGCACAAAGAAAATTAATGTAACTTTTTCAAGATCTTCGAAATGCAAAAGAAGCAAACACTTTCAATCAAGAATATAGTAATGTATTAAGAAAAAAAATTAAAAAGCACACACTTACTGGGGAAGGTACACTTTTCGTAAATTCTTACAGTCAGCGAGAACGTCAATATCCTGCGATGTAAGATTAAGACAGTTCTCTAAACGTATTACTTCGAAGTTAGGACACACATTTATAAACTGTGTTGCAGCTGTATTTTTTATATAGACTCCAGGTTCAAAATTGAACTCACGCATCCGTGGATTTTTTTGTAGTATTTTGTAAAAGCATTCAGCATTTATATTTGTATAACAAAGGTTTAAATGTTCCAAACCATTTAATTTCTCGAGATACGAAAATCCTTTGTCATCTATGCCATTACAATAATCTAGATTCAATTCTGAAAAGAGATATGTTTTGAGCATATACAATAATCCCGACAATTACATTATGTTTCATATACTTTATATGTATATACATACCTTTCAAATTTACACATATCTCTGAAATTTTAAGTAGGGCAAGATTATTGATAGACGGGCCGGAGTATCCTAATCTTAAGTGCGTTAAACGGCTGCCACAATTATCAAGAAAGTTTTTAAAATCCTCAGCCCTAAACATGCTTCTTGTAAGATCTAACTGCTGCAAATATTTACATCTAGATGTAAAGTAATGAAATATTTTCCACATTACGTATTCTGGAGTTTCAGAACATCTCGCGGAGTGTATATTCAAACGTGTATAGAGATGAGGGTCTCGTATCAAATCATTGAAGCGTTTATTTACATAACTCAAGTGGCATAACGTCATCGAATCCAAGTTTTTTAATATTATTAGTAGTATTTCATCCTGCAAAGATAAAATATAAAACTTTAATACACGAGATAATATTGCAATAAAGATGATAAAAAATAGACTTCTAGAATACTTTACAGGAAGCTCAGATATATTGCTACGTGATAGCTCCTTGGATTCATCCGAAGAGAGTTTTATACATTTTGCACAATTTGAATGACGAATTACCTCCAGAGATACATTTTTGTGCATCAAATTCTCTCTCAAAATACTCTCCTTAGAAACCCTTCTTATGTAGCTGCAAATAACATCGGAACAAATTCATTTTTATTATTAACAGAATAAAGAGATTTTAATATTACTTAATGTTGATAATAATACCTTCCATCCCTACAATATTCCATTATAATGCAATATTCAGAAAATGTTGTTGCAGATAATCTATATCCAAGTGTGCATTTTTGAAATCTGCTGTTAAATTATGAATATCCTCATGGTGTGGAAAGTACATGCAGTTAATTAAGATTAGTTAAATTCTTCTCATAATTTCTAGGACGAACCAACTCTGATGTACCGATAAGCATTACAGCATCTAGCTTTGTGTAAAGAGGTATTTTATAGAAAAGTGTATCTCTGTCTTCAAAAAATAGCCTTAGCATTTTCGTTTTAAAGTCACGCAGGTGTGATAAGGGTGGAGAAAATAATCTTGATGTCGGGGTTACAGTCTCAAACCGTTCTCCACTATGAGTTTTACACCATTTAAACTTCTCATTGCACAATTTAAACCACTCATTATTAGAATCATCTTGAGCCAAAATTTGAATTACGTCTCCAGGATTGTTTCGTGAAATTTCGTATATAGAAACTCTGATTGGATATACAGCTTCATGAAACTCGATATCTTCAAAAAAGAAAATATAATTATACTCTCTTCTCAACAAAAGCGTATTTTCTTTAACAATATCTTACTTGTGAATTCAGGTATCACATACCAATATAATTATTTTCGATCGGTCTTCTAAGTTGAGACCATGTATTCGGCCGTTGTATACTATAATACTTCGTCATGGATTCTTCGTATTGTCACGGAGTTATTGAAATGTCGATCTCATTATTCCATCTATTCATTTTCTGTTTTGAAAAGTCAAAATGTATCAAATAGTAGGAAAAATCTTGTAGCATATAAAAGATCCCGATTACTTTGTACAGGACAATATAACGGATAATACACATACTATAAAATATGTTTCTCCATTGAAAAACACGAAGAATAAAATAGAATAATTATTTAGTTTAGAGGACCAACCTTCTACGACCTTGATCTTGACATATATATATATTATAGGGAGCACTCTCCTGATGAGTAACCTTCCAAAGGTTTTAGCCGTCATTCGTTATTTATTAAAACGTTAATAATAAAAAAGTTTGAGAAATATAATAGTGCTAATTAAGGAAAGTCAATTTGCTGATATGTGTTTATAGACAGTATACATGTGGGCGGAAGAGGAATTCAGCCTCTTCCTTTATGTATAAGTCTATATATGTATATATATATATATACCTATGTTACGTCCAACCCCGGGATTAAGATATGAAAATCTGGGAAGCAAGGGAAAGGCTAGCCAGAGGGGTCGGGGGAAGGGAGGACGCAGCTAGATGCTTACAAATGTAGCTCGCAGGTACGCGCTCTGAGACGCGTGGCGCGAGCCGAACGCACTTTTACGACTCAGAAAAGGTCAACGTCCGTAAAGACGTTAGGACGCCTTTCGTGAGCAGTGCGATCATCGGTCCTTTTTCGAGTCAGAGAATTTAATCCCTTTAACTCAGGATCGGACCTCGTGCAATTTCGAGTGGTGGAAGAATGGTGGGTGAGGTCTTAGATTATAAATAAATGGAAATTTATATTTAACGTAAATAAAACATTTATTATAAATCGAAGTTAAGTAATCTGTCGATATTACAATAGGTGAGAACTAGGCAAGTTAAACGGGAGATTGAAAACATTTTACAATGGAAATGTATATGTGTGTACTTCTCGCGGGTGTTACATAAGTGCGGGGGTGATCGGGCAAGATTTCTAAGGGGATACCTACTTGAAAATGCACATCCTGCCCGCTATTATTACAATTTGTTTTAGGATTGAAGTTACATGAATTTACTGTGTGTGTGTGTGTGTGTGTGTGTGTTAATCGATGAAGTACAGTATATGAGAATTGAAATAAGTAAAACTTAATTTTATAACTATCAATCTAAGGTTACGATCTCAGGATCGCCTATTTCCTCGAGATCGAGAGTCGAGGCAGTTGAGGAGGTTGGGGACGAACTTCGGGAAGAGGGGGGAGAATCAGGAGGTTCTAGGAAGCGGGCTGGATCGGGGTTGTCGGGGACCACGCGAGGAGGGACCATGCGAAACGGAGCCACGCGGCAAATAGGGCGATGTTCGACAATTGGGCGAAAAGGCAGGACGACTGGGCGATAGGGCAGGATGTTAGTGGGACGATTCCGGTTCGAACAACCGGGTTCTTCTGTAAACGCTGGTAGGGGCGGTGGGATGGCGAGTCGCGGAGGACCGGCGTTGAGCTGCTCTCGGGGGAGTTCGATCTCCCGTCGCGCCCGCTTGTTCTGGCGATTTCTCTGTCGCCTGATTGTACGGAGGTTTGGTTCCTGAGGGGCCAGGACTTTCGGGTCCACTAAAATTATTTACTTAATTAGTCGATCTCTCTCGGACCCGGCCGGAAGCGAGCAAAAGGAAATCGTTGAGCTTAAAGAAAGGGGAGAGAGGTCAGCGGACGGCTGGGCCCACGACAGCGACGAGACGCCGGGAGCCAAGTCAGGCCTACCACAACGCCAACGACCGCTGGGAACTCGATGCCTACACTAACCGACCCACGAGCATAAGCTCAGGGAGGTCAGTGGACCAGCTGAGTCCACGACAGCGACGAGACGCCGGGAGGTAAGTCCGGCCCGCGACAACGCCAACGACCGCTGGGAACCTGCTGCCTACGCTGACCGACCCCCAAATATATAACGAGCTTCCGGGGTCCGACAATCGATAGACCGTTTAAGGGGGGCGATAACGCGGAAAAAAGGATTAAGAAAATTATGGGACTTACTACTTGATGAGTTCGAACGCGTCTCAGTACGCTTTCTCTCAATGGACGTTGGACTCGTCGGTGAGTGGGTTGGGGCGACTGGTCCGTCGGATCTGCTGCACTGACTCTAAACGTGACTCTAAACGTGAGCTTTTCGAATGAAGTTTAAATTGTAACCGAGCAATGCGGACTTGAGATGAGAAAATTTCTCTGAGACGGGTCCTGCGACGTCGCGCTTTAAATAGGAAGGTTCGAAGGATGGAAGGGGTGGATTTTGTGTGGGATGTGTCCGGTTTTCGTTTAAGGGATTTCTGGTTGGCGGGATGTTTCTGATTATTATTTAAGGGAATTCTTATTGGGCGAGATGTTTCTTGCCCAAGGGGAAGATTTTGGGTTTACGCCTATCCTAGAAAGCTAGAGACGGTTATCGATTTTTGCGGTTTTCTATTGGTGAGCCCCCTCTTAAAGCCACATGTCTTATTGGGGGTGTAACCCATCGGTTCTTTTCAGTGACGCATTTGTTTTTCGGCTATCGCCGATTTTTCTTTTATTAGGGTTCCTTACTTATCTCGCGACCCTGTCTCCCTCCTGACAGACGATCCATACTTCTCAATTTTAAGTGCAGTTTTATTGCAAACAGAAACTTCCGCCACGTACTCTTAAGATTTCTAAAAGCACGTATTAGTACTTGGCTTGTTTATTCTAATCTTAGAGCTATCTTAGCCGCATAAGAATTCCCGCGAAAAAGGGATATCGTAGAGTCCGCTGGACGTAACACCCCCCGCCTTAGACAAATGTTGGGGGTGTGTAACACAACATTTGCGGATTAATTGAAGGAACGATTTCCGTTTTTCGCAAGCTTCTTGGTCCCCCTTTTTTTTTTTTCAAAGGGTTCGTTCTTGGTTTCTATTTAGAGAAGGAGGAAAGAAAAAGGCAACCACCATAGCCCCTTCCTTTATTCTTTCGTCCTCCTGGTTTGTGCAATGCTGTTGCCCGCATGGGCATGTATTAGATTATTTTAGATCAAAGTTTTTAGAAAATGGTAATTCCAATTTACATGCCCATTCAGACGCACGAGGGATATTTATTATGTACGCATATATATATATATTTTTTTTTTACTAAATTTAATAATGTCTTAATATTATTCGCAATACGCAAGGTTTCGTTTCATGTGAGGCTATCTTTCCTTTCTTTAACGGGGCAATAACTGTGCCCTTACTACCTAGAGTGGATTGTCCACGTGGCTGTCGTCCGTCCCGAGACGTCCCTTTTTTTTTGTGGCAGTTTTTCAACTGGCTCGTACGGCAGTCCCAAAGCTCCTTGTTTTGTATGCCTTGCCGGCTTGCTGACAGGTTTTAATGTATTTGTGATTTATCGCGGGTTTAATACTTGCCACTTAATTATAGCTGGATTGTTATGTACTCGTCTGGCTGGGCATGGTATCCTAATGGATTAGCTCACCGAGGACGATGAGGAGCTAGCAGTCTTTCGTCTAGCAGTTGCTTTGTATAACAATGGTGGCAAGTTACGATAAATAGATGAAATTCTCAAACGGAATAACTCATCGGGGTGCCGTTGGTAGTCGGCACATTTTTTGTTTAATTTTATTCGAAAGTTTCCTTTTTTTTTTTTGCATTAAGTAATTCAAGGAGGGAATCTGCCGAAGCCTCGTACTTATTTGACAGTCAGGTGGCTATTATTTTTATGCTACTCATACTGTGTCCTTTTTTGTTATTATTATGATTATTGTTATTATGTATATACATATAATTTAGAAAGGAAAGCATCCTCGCTATTTTTCATCTTAAGGAGAAAGGTATATAGTGTAACTTAATCTAAATAGAAAAAAATAAAAGATTGGTATTGTGAGTGAATAACATAAAATAAAATTTTATTACAAGTTATAGGGTTGGAGTTATGAAATAAGAATTATAAAAATGTACATAAAACATATGGTGATAAAAGGATGATGGAGAAAAACCTGTTATGATTTATGAAATTAAAACCATGATTAGGACTAATATGTTAAATACTACGCAAATATTTGACAATAAGAGACGATAAAATTAAATGTCTAAAGTTATTCGCTAGAGCGAGCCTCAAAATTAATAACAAAGAAATGATTACGCAAAGAAAGGTTACAAAAGGCTCGCTGTATTTTATTCGCTGGGATTCTCTGTTTTTACAAATGGATGGAGGAGAGAATCCCAGGGATGGCCACCACCTCTTCGAATTCGCTGTGCTGGGCACATCCCATTTGCACGAGTAATTCCGCCAGATCTGGCGTCTCGTCTTCGCTCTCGGGCCTCGCTCGGAAATTGATGATGGCGGCTTCGTCCTTGACCGCCCGCCGGATCCTTATCCATCCCTCTCTTTTCTCGACCAGCCGTTTTGTCAGGGCGATGGACCTACGGGACCATCGCGTCCTTCCTTCGAGTGGTTGGAGGTGGGCTAGACCACAGGGGATGGCCTGCCATTCAAACTGGCGGAAGCGATCTTCGAGGATGTAGACCTCGAACATAGGCCGCTGGACGGCGCGGCCCCAGTCTCTGAGGGCAACCGTCACTCGGTCCCCTCTTTCAACTCGGAGCACGAAGCCCCTCTGCCACCGTCTTCCTTCACGAACGGCGACCTCCGTTTCGGGCACGATCTGGTCAGGTGGGAGGTGGAGGAACTCGCTCTTCCGATTCATCCTTCGCGTTAGATCCTCGATGAGCTCGTCGAGATCCTCACGCCCACCGTTGAGGTGGACCCATAGGAAAGAGGGGGAGTCCACCCGGATCACTTTTACCCCGAGCGGGCCGCGGCTCAACAGACTGGTGTTGATGCATTTAATCTCCATATTCCGGCTACAAGGAATTTGTTGTTAAAATATCTGCATGTCGCAGCATGCGATTATAGGGGCGGTGATAGATTATTATTATTATTATTATTATTATTATTATATATATATATATATATATATATTGTGACGTTGCGGTTTCGCCGCGGCGTGGCAGCGCTCCGCCGCCGTCACAAGGCAGTGTTACCAGATAGCTAAACTGAATCTCCCCAACATGTTCATGAATTTTCCCCAAAATTTCCCCAAATTGTTCATAAATTTTCCCCAAATATCCCCAAATGTATTAATGTATAAATCGCTACCCTGCTTTTGTGTAAAGCGCCTAATTTAAAAATTTATGTCTTTTATGGATTGATAAAAGGTAATACCAATATTGCTAATTCATGAGGGAGTACACTGGCGGTGCATCGTGCATCTTGTCGCGCTGGGTCTAAATATAACCAAGTCAGGCGTGATATCATGCATAGGCATGAAACAGACAATTACCACGCAACCGTAAATCGTACCCAGCTGCGTAATATTTAAACGTGCTACAGATTTACTGTAACATTTATAGAAATTATATATTTAACGCCTCGCATTTTCGTTCACGCTTTACATAAATACAAAAAAAATGTAGACCCCGATACTCGTGTAGTTTACTGCAATAGAGAAATCATTAGTGTTTATGTCATTATATTTAAATGATATAGTACACATTTTTTGATATATTATATACCTATTACATCATATTTAAACATTATATAATATAATCCAATATCTTTCTTCCTTACTAGAATAAGTATCAAACATAATACAGAGAAGAGAATTATTTTATACAGCTATAGATTATATAGTTATAGATAGCAATATATAATTATATAAAAAGCAATATATAAAACTATGCAATAATATACATATTATAGATATATTATTGCATAGTTATACAATATACCAACATAATTAAACATAACACAGTTATACATAGATGAACATAAAATAATTATGTATATATGAACATAACATAACATAAATGAACACTTAAAGTTACGTACATGAAAATATGTTGAATATTTCATCTTGCTCAATTTCTGTATTTTCAACCAAGTACATATTTTCAGAGTTAAACTTCTTAAGCATATTTGTTGTTGGCTGAAAGTTTTTACACCCTTGTGGCATATTAAACCGTATCCGCATAATTGCATCTGCAGTTTTTACAGCCATTCTATTCCTTAACTTGTTTTTTATTACATTCATTATCGAAAAAGCGCGCTCAACTACAGCATTTGAAAAAGGCAAACACAGCATTGCCAAAGCAAATTTTGTAATATTGCCAAATTGTTGTTGGCCAGCAGAGTTCTGATACTGAAAAACTTCAACCCAAAATTCTTCTGGAGTAGATAATTTACTCCACTGCTTGGTATGAAGAATATTCCATTCATCTATAGTCATATCAATATTTTTACATATGTTTTTAAATGCTACAACTAATTCAATTATCTTCGGCTTTATTTGTGACGTTGCTAGCTGTGGAGAAAGCAAGCTTATTTTTTCCAATAATTTAATATTGTCAGGGATTCGGTTCTGTAGCTGTTCACACAAACAGATCAAGAAGTCACGACATCTCTCTTTGATTACTTTAAGTTCGTGATGAGGCAAGCCAGAAGCTGCTTGTTCGAAAGAATACCCAAAATCGATAGCCTCAATTCTCATTACATAATCTTTGAAGTTAAAGCTAGCAAGATTTTTTTTTTCCAATTGTAGTCTTGATGGAGGTATAAGGATATTCATATAATAGTATAAAAGAGAGTGCAAATCATCTAAAAGTTTAAGAGAATTAGCATTTTCTGCTTGGAACGTTTTGTTAATCTCCGTCAGAAGTTTTAACATATGCTTCAAGAAAGTTAAGTAAACAAAATTAGACTGTGTATTAAACATATTATACAGTTGGTCAGCTGTGTAGCATCTCTCCTTATCTTTTACTATATTAAAGTGAAGTTTTAGAGCATCCCATTGATCAATTATTTTTGTTATTGCTTCACATCTTGCTAACCACCGTGTACCTGATAATTTGTCAATTTTAAGAGGTTTCTTATCTTCTAAGACTTTATATAATTTTGCATACTCAATTTGACGCTTAGAGCTGCAAGAAAACCAGTTGTGGCACTCTTTAACAATAAAATCTAGATTTCTTGGTAAGCATTTACAAGAATATTCAGCAGCCAAATGAAGAGAATGACAAACACATTTAACTACTACAAGTTCACTATTAGTTTCTTTTAAAATTGAAGCAAATGAA